GGGGGGGCTCAATATCTTTATCTCCTCTGTTTTTTGGCTGAAGGAAATAGAGAGAAACTCTTGTTAGAGAGAGAGAGTTTTAAGAAAAAAATGTCAATCTAGTGTAAAGCATGAACGGTAGACTAGTAAATACACATAGAATATAAAATTAGATATTCATTTTTTTAACAGTGTTATTATACAACAGGGCAAGAAAATTTGGTTGGCCAAATACATATGTTTTCAGCAAGGCGATGGGAGAGATATTGTTAGGGTACTTGAAAGAGGAAATGCCTCTTGTAATTATTCGCCCCACAATTATAACCAGCACTCACAAAGAGCCTTTCCCTGGTTGGGTTGAAGGGATCAGGTAAATTTAATCAAGCAGTTATTTTTTTTTGTTATTTTTTTTTTATTTTGTATTTTTTTGGTACAATCAATCAGTTATTTATTATCTAGTAAAAAAATTAGTCTCTATTTTTTTTCTAGTTTGCTTGAAAAACAAAAAAAAATGATATCGGACTTTTTGTTGGACGATCAACATTGGTGCACACAATTTGAGAAATAAAAGAACAAAAGCCATATGCTCAATAAACCCTTTCTGTATTAATTGATGATAAAGAAGAAGGAATAACATGCTATATATAGAGACCTATGGTAGCCCTACACCCTACAAACCCTAATGACATATCCAATGGAAGGATAACACGTGTTGCATGCTATCATGCGCACCAAACAACAATAGTTCTATATAGCTGGGAAAAACATAAATGAGCTCGGGTGCACTGTAGCTCTTCTAACTGATTTTGTCATCTTGCTTATCACTCCCCCCCAATTCTTGGGCAGGAAAAGGTAGCACTTGAAGTTATTGCTGCCTGCTGAAGCCTGGTGAAGAATTGGAGTGAAAGTGGTTTAGTTATTAGGATATCTGCAACCTGGTAATATGTGGGAACATGATTAACTTTGAGTAGCTGATTAGCAATTTGATCTCAAATAAAATGTAGATCAATTTCAATGTGTTTTGTTCGAGCATGAAGGATAGGATTACTAGCCAGGGAGATGTTGCTGCGGTTGTCTATCCATACTGTAGATGTTCTTGGTAAAGAGACATGAAGTTCCTTTAACAGGGACTGAATCCAAGTGACCTCAGCGGTTTCATGAGCAAGACTTCGGCACTCAGCTTCAGTGCTTGATCTGGAGATGGAAGCTTGCTTCTTAGAACACCATGAGATAGAATTTCTGTCTAGGTGACACACGAACCTGTGATAGATTTCATGTCATCCAAATCTCCTCCCCAGTCAGAGCCTGAAAAAGCAGTTAAAACAGGAGAGCATTGGCTAGTGTAGTAAAGCCCATGAGTAGATGTGCCTGTAAGAAACCTTCGGATCCTTTTAGCTGCTTTAAGGTGAGTATCAAGGGGAGTTTGCATGAACTGGCACACCTTGTTGACACTAAAGGCAATGTTTGGCCTAGTGATGGTGACATATTAAAGGGAACCAACTAAGCTCATGTAGGCTGAGACATTGTCAATGGGATATCCTTGAGATTTGGTTAAAGTGGGAGTGGTAAGCATAGGGGTGGGAACAGGTTTAGCTCCAAGCATGTTGGCCTTTGCCAGTAGATACTTGATGTACTGAGTTTGAGATAGGGGTATACCTTGAGGTGTTTTGATGACCTCAATTCCCAGGAAATGGTGTATCTCACCTAGGTCCTTCAAAGAGAAGACTTTGCCAAGTTGCATAATGGTTGCTTGAACCTGAGATGCACTATTTCCAGTGACCAAGATGTCATCAATGTACACAAGGAGCCAAATTATAGTGGAGCCTGTCTTCTTGACATCGAGGGATGTGTCTGCTTTTATGTTAGTGAAATGCAGTTTGTGGAGTACTTCTCTCAGTTTTTGAAACCAAGCCCGAGGAGCTTGTTTTAAACCATAGATGGACTTGTGCAGTTTGCAAACAAAAGAGGGATGTTGCACAGATTCAAAGCCTGGTGGTTGAGACATATAAAGATCCTCATCAATATCCCCATGCAAGAAGGCATTGGTGATATCCAATTGCCTAACTGTCCATTGGTTCATCAGAGCCAAAGAAAGAACAAGCCTGATTGTTGTAGGTTTGACTACAGGACTAAAAGTTTCAGTGAAGTCAATGCCTGGTGTTTGGCTATATCCCTTTGCCACTAATTTGGCTTTGTACCTTGCAATAGAACTGTTGGCATGATATTTAAGTTTGAAGATCCACTTACAGCCTATAACAACTTTATGAGGTGGTAAGGGAACCAGGCTCCAAGTTTGATTGGCCAACAAGGCTTGATATTCAGATTGCATGGCATTTGACAACTTGGGATGAGAGAGAGCCTGGATGTGAGTGGTAGGAGCTTGAGTGTTCAAGTCATCAACCAGGAATACTCTGGGTTTAAGATTGCCTGTTTTGGACCTTGTGACCATGTGGTGGCCTGTCCTTGTACCTGCAACAGTAGATAATGGAGCTGGTGTTTGATTAGTCATAATTAGAAATTCAACTACAAGTGGAATGGTGGAGTGACTGTCAGAGGTAGGTTGAGGTGATGTTGGAAGAGTGTTTGAAGAAGGAGTGGAGGGAGTTTGTGCTGGGGAATTGACAGTGTTTGGGGTTGGGGAAATATGACCATGTGTAGAAGTAGAGGAGTTGGGATCAGTAGGAGTGATAGGTGATTGGATAATGGGAGGGGCCTTCATATGAGGTAAGGTGTAAAAGACAGGTGGGGTAGGGCTGAGAGTTTTGTGAAAGGGGAAGTTGAATTCATCAAAGATAACATCCTTAAAGACAATGATTTTGCTTGTAGGTAAAAGAACCTTAAACCCTTTGTCTCTTGAGCTATATCCAATAAAGGTGCAAGGTAATAATCTAGGTTCTAGTTTGTGCTTGTTGTAAGGTCTGAGGTTAGGATAACAAAGGGAGCCAAAGACTTTGAGGGTAGTGTAATTGGGTCTGTGGCCATATAATTTCTCAAGAGGTGATGTAAAGTTTAGAGATTTGATTGGGAGCATGTTGAGGATATAAACTGCAGTGTGAAAGGCATCATCCCAATATTTTAGAGGTACTTTGGAGTGAGAGAGAAGAGCTAGACCCATTTCAACTATGGAAATGTGCCTCCTCTCTGCTAGGCCATTCTGAGAGGGAGTATAAGGACAAGAAAGTCTGTGATGGATGCCATTTGCATGAAAGAATTTGGTGAGGGTTATAAACTCACCTCCTCCATCACTTTGAACTGATTTAATTTTGTGATTAAGCTGTGCTTCAACAAGATTTTTGAAGTGAATAAATGACTCACAAACATCAGACTTCTTATGGAGAAAATATATCCAAGTGAACCTTGTAAAATGATCAATAAAGAAAACATAGTAATGTGATCTAGAATTAGATGTGATGGGTGAGGGTCCCCACACATCAGTGTGTATGAGTTGCGATGGTGCAGTGTATTGAGACTGAGAATCAAAAGTAGGCAAGGCATGAGCTTTAGCTTGTAAACAAGAGCCACAAACAAAGTTTTCATTAAGAAGATAAGGTACATTACAACTTCTCATAACTTTAAGAACTACATCAATAGCTGCATGTCCTAATCTAGAGTGCCAAAGATCAAGATTGGCTGATTAATTACAACTGGAAAGAAAAGCTCTTGGAAATAAAGTGACTGTAGGTGATGGAGGCTTGAACTTGGTGATGTTAGAAATCTGAGCATCAAATTTGTGGAGACCTCCCTCAAGGGAGCCTTTGAGAAGAACATTGTGAGTGTCCTGATCCTTGATAAGACAAACAGATGGATGGGATTCAAAAAAGACACAATTATCTTTAGCAAACTGTGAGACACTAACAAGTTTCTTTGTGATAGTGGGCACATGAAGGAGGTTCTTTAACATGAAAGGTTTAGATTGAAGGTTGGACTTGAGAAATGAATTGCCAATATGAGAAATACTTAAACCAGTTCCATTACCTATCTGAAGTTTGTTGGTACCTTGAAATTCTGAGGCAAGATTAAGATTGGAGATTTAATTGGTGACATGATTGTTTGCCCTTGAGTCTGCAAACCAACTAGATTCAGTCATGGTGTCACTTGCTTGATTAAGGTAGTGTGTTGTATGACTTTAGGTGGAGAGGCTTGTGCAACTTGTGCTTGCAAATTTGTTGGCCCAGGGTAGGTTGAGTCATACCTATGAAAACATCTGTCTGTAGTGTGGTTTGAGAGGCCACACAGTTGGCAAGGGGTTCTGAAATTGCCTCTGTAGTTCCTGCCCCTCTCCCTCTTGCATTTCTTCCTCTCCCCCTGGTTGAGAAGTTGTTGTTGTTGTTGCCTCTGCCAAAGGAGAGATTGAGAGTTGTGAAACTGATTTCCTCTTTGGTTTATGGATCCCTTGTTGTTGTTTCCAGTGTTTTGAGATGCATAGTGAGCTGAGGGGCTTGAGCCATCTAGGTTGATTGTGGGTTGAGTTTGAAGATCCATCTTGGATTCTAAGCCGAGAAGCATGGAGTGGACCTCATTCAATATGAGGCTCAATCCTAGTGGTCACAACAACCACTACTGCATTGTACTCCTGACCCAGACCACCAAGGATATGAAGTATGTGGTTTTGCTCACTTACAGGTTCACCTGCTGTTCCCAAAGCATCACAACAAGCTTTGACTTGAGATAGGAACTCTTTCATAGGTAGGTTACCTTTTTTGAGGGTTTGAAGTTGCAACTTTAACTGCATTAGCCTTGCTTTGGACTGGCCTCAGTAATTGGACTCCAAGGCTTGCCAGATTTCTCTTGAGGTGTTCTTTCCCACCATCATCACTAGAAGATTTTCAGAGAGAGATGAGAGAAGCCAGCTTGTAAGGAGCTGATCTTGCCTTACCCAACTCACATACTCGGGGTTGACTTGGATCTGGCCTGTGCTATCAACTGTGGTATGAGATGGAGCTAGATATGAGTTGGAGATAAAGGACTCAAGGCCATATCCTTTTATGGTGGTGATTACTTGTTGTTTCCAAAGTAGAAAATTTGAATCTGTTAGCTTGAGAGAGACAAGTTGATGATGAGGTTGGATAAGGGTATTTTGTGTGTTGGTAACCAGAGATGGTGTTGTGGTGTGGCTGGAAGAGGAATCCGCCAGTAATGCTTCTGATCAAGAGGGGATAAGGTTGCAATGGTTTAGATGAGAGCATCAGAGACAGGTCAAAAGCCTGATCTGATACCATGTTGGACGATCAACATTGGTGCACACAATTTGAGAAATAAAAGAACAAAAACTATAATGCTCAATAAACTCTTTTTGTATTAATTGATGATAAAAAAGAAGGAATAACATGCTATATATATAGACCTATCGTAGCCCTGTACCCTGCAAACCCTAATGACAGATCCAATGGAAGGATAACACGTGTTGCATGCTACCATGCACACCAAACAACTATAGTACAATACAACTGGGAAAAATAGAAATGTGCTCGGGTGCACTGTAGCTCTTCTAACTGATTTTGTCATCCTGCTTATCACTTTTCACCTGACAGTAATTCAAAATTTAATGATAGTAAACACTAAATTATAAATGTAAATTAATGGGTTGCTTAGATTAATTGGAGATTCTATAGTCCCGTTACGAAATTATTCTGTCGAGGTTTATACCGTTAGATCAACTATCTATGACGTTTACATGATGATCTAACGATTACAAACCCCGATGGAATGATTTCGTAACCAAACCTTAGCATTTCCCAAATTTATATGATTCCTGTTTCTAATTCCACTTTTCTACTTTTCAAACAAATGTTTATTCAAACTTTTTTTTTACTCGTTAAATTCTAATTATTATTATTGTTATTTACTGCAATAAACAGGACTATTGACAGCTTAGCTGTTGGATATGGAAAAGGAATAATAACATGTTTTCTTGGCAATCCCAAGGGCATAATCGATGTGGTGAGTTTAACTAATGTAAAAGAAAATCTGCATGACTTGGGTGTAATTATATATGTTTTTGAAGTTATTTATTGGTCCAATTATATATGGAGATGGATAAAATAGAGTTAATTAATGAACTAATTAATAAATTTACTTTTTTAAATATAGTGTAATATTTCATTGTGTTGTGATAAAAATTAATAAAATAATAATTGATAGTTATCCATATGTGAATGAATAAATAATAAATTTGATAGAAAAATGCATGGTAACAATTATTATTAAAATTTAAAACTTGAGTTGAAAACTAATAAATGGAGTAGAGAGAAATGAATGAATAATAAATTAAAGTATTTTATATTTCAATTATATAGGATAGAAAATGTACCAAAGGCGTACGCATCCTTCACGTCCTATACTCTACTTAATTAACATTCCTTATTTATTTATTTATTTACATATTTATTTATTTTTACAGAATAAATTAATTCACAATTAAATTTAATAATTTTTTAAACAACGTATGAAGTCTAAATATAAATATTGGGTTAATTAATATGGCAAAAATACAACTTAGGTCGTCTAACTTATGGCTTGCGGCTATTATGGATAATGACTTTTAATTTCGGCAAACTATGACAGTAACTTAAAAAAACCATGCATTTAATGCTCAATTTACATACAATTTCTCGGTAAATTGTAAGTTACTTTCCTAATATGCCAGTGAAATTCGGTAAATATTGATTAAGCATTAATTGCACGATTTTTAAGTTATCGACATATTTTGCCAAAATAAAAAAAATGTTAGTCATAATTGCCATGGACCACAAATTACAGGGCATTAATTGTAATTTTGCCCAAATAATATCAATCTATTACGCAATTTGATTTAGTTTCTTCTAAAAAATAAATAAATAAAAATAAATAATTGCAGATGCCAGCAGACATGGTGGTTAATGCAATGATAGTGGCGATGGCAGCTCATGTGAATGATAATGGCGGAAATGATAATATATATCACGTTGGCTCATCTTTATCAAACCCTGTGGAGTTCACATGGCTTCAAGATTATGCACTCACATACTTCACAAGACATCCTTGGATTAACAAATATGGAAAGCCCGTGATCGTTGGCAAAGTCAATGTCCTGAGTTCAATGGATAGTTTCCAAAGATACATGACCATTCGATACATTCTGCCTCTCAAGGTTTGTCGTCATTTTAATCTTTCATTTAAAATATTGTCTTTAGTTTTGTTGTCTATTAATTAAAAAAAAAATAAAAAATTCACCCTACAAGTTGAGCTCTCGTTATAGCTGCCTCAAGTAGGTCAAACTTGGACTGCAAGACATATAATTTCATTTTCTCTAACATGCGACCTCAATTTGAGCGAGCTTGAAGACACCACCGTTAGTTTGTTTCCGAGACGATAAAAGGATAATACTAAGGGACTTATTCAAGATGTCGACCATTTAATCATAGGATGAGATGTGTTGTTTATAAGATTCATCATCAAGCCTTTCATAGGAACAAAGAGAAGAAGAAGACTACGGGTGAATTGTATTAAGAAGAAAAATTAATGAATCATCTTTTGGTTTACAACTCAAGTATTTATACTAGGCTAAATTTCATTTTTAGTCCACTATGTTGACCATTTTCCGAAAAAGGTCCATCATATAGGGTGTCATCAATAATGGTCCACTATATTGTCACTTTTAATCAAAACTCGTACAAATGCCAACATAGTGGACTAAAATTGATTATCACTTTTAGTCCACTATGTTGGCATTTGTACGAGTTTTGATTAAAAGTGACAATTTAGTGGACCATTATTGATGACACCCTATATGATGGACCTTTTTCGGAAAATAGCCAACATAATGGACCATTTTTTAAATTTTGCCATTTATACTAAGTTAAGAATAACTAAATGTGTTATTTCCTGTCTAGCAACTTTACTTACAACAATATTAAAATTACAAAAAGTAAAATAAAAAATACTATTCTTAATACCCCGCAAGAAGAGCATGTATGTTTATCATGCTCATCTCGGCTAAGAGGTGCTGAAATGCGATGCTGGTATGCCTTTATCAAGAAATCTGCTAACTGATCATTTGTTGGAATATGGTGGAATTAAATGAGGCACTTACTGATGTTTTCTCTAATCAAGTGACAGTCCAATTCAATGTCCTAGGTTCTCTCATGGAAAACATGGTTAGATGACATTGCTAAAACTGACTTACTATCTGAAAAGAGACAAACATGAATATGAGTGATATACCAAGTTCAGTACCTAAGTTAGTTAGCCATTGGATTTCACATATAGTGTCAGCTAGTGCCCTATATTCGACCTCTGCAGATGATATTCTAATGGTAGGTTTTATTATTATTATTATTATTATTATTATTATTATTATTATTATTATTATTATTATTATTATTATTATTATTATTATTATTATTATTATTATTTCTTATTTCCATGATATTATATAGCAACCAAGGAAGACTAAATATCCACTTACACTTCTCCTAGTGTCTACACAAGAGGCTCAATCATTATCAGAATAAGCATGAAGTTGTAAAGGTAGTATCTTGGCCAAGGGTGCCTTTGACATGCCTCAAAACCCTTTTTACAGCGTGCATGTGTTCTTAAGTAGGTGATGACATGAACTGTCTAAGAGATTGAACAGAAAAGGCAATGATTGGCTTACCAATTGTGAGATTAAGCATCCTACCAACTAACATTCTATATGTAGATGGATGAGATAGTTTTCTTGATTTGGAAGAGGATGAGTTATTTTTTAATTTATGTGTTGGATCTATAATGGAGAGGCAACTTTACAACCTAACATACCAGTATCATTAAGAATATCCAATGCATATTTCTTTAAACATATTTATGCATTTTTAGAGTGAGAAAAAAATCTAGTTTATAATATATTTCAATTGACCTAAATCTTTTATTGTGAAACAAGTATCAAGACGTGACATTGTTTCTTGTATTTTGTTTAAGTCTTTACCTGTTAAGATGATATAATCCATATACACAAACAACACAATAAATGAACTATTTTCAGATATTTAAAACATTGAACAATAAACATGTGATTGGGAAAAACCATAAGTAGGAATGAGGTGAGTTTGTGGAACCACTACCTTGAAGTTTGTTTATGACCACTGAGACTCTTTGTTAATTTACAAACTCTAGTGTATATTAGGGAGCAATAACCAGGTGAGAGTGTCATATAAACTTCTTCATTAATATCACCAAGTAAAAAAAGTATTATTGACATCTAATTGGTGATGAACATTTTTTAACAGCAACTAAAGTTGTGATGAATCTAGTTGTGCTAATCTTATCTACGAAAAAGTATCAAAATAATCTATGCCCATTTCTTGAGTATAAAATTTTGCAACTTATCTAGCGTTATTCCTTTCAATAGAACCATCTGACTTGTACTTTATTTTGTAAACCCGTTTGCAACTTATGCAATGTTTACTTTTGGGGAGGTTTGTTAGGATCCAAGTATTTGTGTGTTCTAGGTCTTTTAATTCTTTATGCGTAGCTTCTTGACATAGTTGATCCTTAACATCTTGTTATATGTTTTAGGTTCATATGTACGTATGATTGATGTAGTAAAACAACCATGTGAGGTAGACATATTAGTAGTAGATAGATAGTTTGAAATAGAAAAAACTGGATGTTCTAGAAGCATCACGAGAATCGGTCTGTGATATTATTGTATGGTGGGTTGTATTTGTTGAGGATTGAGGATGATTGATTTGAGTAGAATTTGGTAGTTAGTGTTGATATATGCTCAAGTATATAGGTGGCCTAGAGATTCTGGTTGTTCTTCTTCTAGGTGAATGTTGGTATTCATGAGTAGTAAAAGGTTGAGGTATGTTTGTAGGGACAATTGGTAGGTTAGTAGGTGTTTTTGGGATAGGATCATCGAAGATGTAGGGAAAAAAAGAGTGATAACTGAGAGAGGCAGTCAAAGTTTTATAGTGAAAAACATTATCATAGAAGATGACATTTTTAGAAATGAATATTTTATTGGTTTCCAAGTTGTAAAGAATATAACATATACAACCTAAAGGATAACCAAGAAATATGCACTTTGAAGCTCTTGGATCAAATTTATGCCTATGTGCATGTAGTGTAGAAGTAAACACATACAACCAACACTTTAATCTGATCATCAGTGGGTTATAACATTTCAAATGGGGATCCATTGTTTAGAGTTAAGGTCGGTATTATGTTTACTATATGCATTGCAAAAAGAATACAATCAAAACAAAAAGAAAGGGGTGGATGGCATGAAATAATGTAGCTCCAGCAATCTGACGAATATGCTGATGTTTCTTTCTAGCCATGCATTTGTTGAGGGGTTTTAGTGTTGGGATCTATGAGGATCTCTTTATGTACAAATCACAAATTCAATACCAAAACGTAAACCGATACGCAGCGGATCTAAAGGTTTGCGTAGAGAACTTACGGCTTAAAATATATGGTGATCTGGCTGATCTTCTGGACAGCCGTACACAGCGCACCAATGAATCAGATCACATGAACGGTTGACCACAAATCACTTCTTGGGATTGCAAGAATAAGATTGGACCAAAAAACGGATCAAACGGGTGCAAACAGATGAAGACAAAACTTGTAGTTTGGGAGCTTTCGGCGCACGTGCGGGCGCGTGAGGCGGCAATGGAAAGCTGACGTCGAGACGGTCTTCTGGGTATGCTGCCCACCTTGATCGGACATCCGGTTAGATCTGTACAAAAAAATATATTTCGTCTCGCTTTACCTACAGATCTTCTACTGTATTACTCAATACACCATTCTTCAACTTGTATCAGTGGAGCAACAAGAAGAAGATAAAGCTCGAATGAGAATTGAGAGAGAGAGAGAGAGAGAGAGTGAGGCGTGGGGCGTGTGTTTCAAGAATATCTTGTGTTCTCTTCCCATGAGCTTAATGATGTATATATAGAGCTACAGTAGGGACCCTTAAGAGATTAGGAGAAAGACTCCTTAATTAATTAAAAATACTTGTGGGTCAGCCCACTTATTTTAATTAACTAAATAATATTAAATGGTCCACCAACATAATATTATTGCACTCCCTTTTCCTAGCCCATTTTATAATTGAGACACCAATAATAATTACTCGATTTATCTCTCTATGTTTAAGATATAATGTCCATTAATTAATTCGATCACTGACAATCAAGAATTAATTAATTTATTATTATTTTATCGAAGCTAGTGCTCATTCATCACATTCATATTATCTTGGAATTTAATCTACCTGCAGGGTTTAGCATAACATTCCTTCATGAATTCACTCCGGGGACATCATCAAACTAACGCATATGGTGACCATAAATATCCTAACAGCACATCTTACATGTAGCAATATTATCCAAGACAGATGGTCTATTGGCCCAGCTCACTAAGCCTCACCCATGTGAATCAAAGTAATAAGTACTACACATATATGCCTGTTTAATATCTTACGGGTTAAGAGCACGCAGTAATTAACCAGGTCTAGTTCGTTTACGACGATCAACACAAAACGAACTGCTCCTCTCTAGGATCATGTTCAATACATAAATGTACTAGTGCAACTAATCATTAAAGACAAACTGTACAGTTGACATGTGATGGGGTGTTCATGTCCATCTAGGTTGTAAACCATTATTCTTGTTTCGCGAGTAACTGATAGTATGATCTTCGGTTCGCCCAATGACGACCCATGCTATCTAATGCAAAACAACATAACGTATAACTTGTTAAATCTAATATGTTTCTCATTCATAAAGGGTAAAAGTGTAATATCATCCCAAGTCAAGCTTTCAGTATATAACACTAACAATCTCCCACTTATACTTAAAGCTTTCGCTTTTACAAGTATAGTCCTATCAATCCGTTATTCTAAAAGACCTATGTCGATCCTATCGCCATGCACTTGACTCCCATTCCTATCACGTGTTTGACGAAGATCTTCTCCGGCAAACTCTTCGTGAAGGGATCAGCTAGGTTTTCCTCAGATGCAATCTTGGTAACATCAATGTCTCATATACCAACTATCTCTCGAATCATATGGTACTTGCGCTCTATGTGTTTGCTCACTCTGTAGGCTCGTGGTTCCCTTGAGTTTGCTATTGCTCCACTGTTATCACAGTACGCGGTGATACCACGTGCAAACTCGGAATCACTTCTAAGTCCACTAAGAAGTTTATGAGCTAAACTGCCTCTTTCGCTGCCTCTGAGGATGCTATGTACTCGGCTTCCATGGTGGAGTCTGCCATGCATTTCTGCTTAGCACTCCTCCATGAAATGGCTCCACCTCCCAAGGTAAACATATAACCAGAGGTTGACTTACTTTCGTCACTATCTGACTGGAAATCAGAATCACTGTAACCAAGAGGTAACAAGCTGTCTGGACGGTAAACTAACATGTACTCCTTAGTCTTTCTCAAGTCCTTGAGTATAGGCTTCACCGCAGACCAATGTTGCATACCCAGGTTACTTTGATATCTGGCTATTA